AAACAGTTCTCTTCTAGTTCTATTAATGGATGAAGATGGATTTGGATCACTGAAAAACATAATATATCTTCTGATTATCTACTATTTGTTTTGTCACACTTTTGTACCCTTTAGTGTGAACAAGCCCAATTATTCTGACTGGTCTTAGAAATTACTACCAATCAATTCCCAAATCCTGCGGGCTTTAACCAGCACATTCCTCTGTCCGTTTACCTTTGCGTCTCCAGCGGCGTCTGCGTGTCCTTGTAGGTCAGTCAGGGACATTCCAGGACATGGCATTGAGATACAAGACCGCACTGCATCATGGGGCTCTCTTCTTGTATCAGAGCTGTAAGAAATAAACATTTATCAACAAAGCCATCCATAGACAAAGCCCCTACACGCCTGGAGTGGTTTCAGCTGATATATGAACCACTATCTCTCAAAACCTGGCACCCAGCTTCATAAAATGTGTCACAACTTGTTTCGGGGCCAGAGTGACTGATGCGGCGAAGATGCTGTGATAGATTCAACCATCAGCGGCAGTAAATAATAATATTGGTCAAAGAGATATGGACCAATTCCTTTGATTAAACCCTTGGGCAGATGTTGAAAGGTCATAGAGGCTGAACAACCTAATGCAAGTATGTTGTAGTGGTTTGATGGTGACGTTTAAAGAGAAAATATTGAGTATTTGGAGTTTGTGGGGCTCAGATGTCTTCTCCAGTTTCTCCAATCGGTGAAATTCTGTGACACATCCTTGTCCATAACTTTCTTTTAACAGTTAAGATAGGTTCTTCCTATCTTCTCAGTAGAAATAAAAGCATTTGGAATTAAGAAGACAAGACAAACCTTCCTAAACTAGAAAATATTAGCTTTTTTGCGTTAATTTTAGCCCTTAAAGAAGAATTAGTATGCCTTATTCTTGGCCATTAAAATTATAGTGAGACACTTTACTTTGTCATTTCATGTTTGAGACAACAACATAATATTTAGGTAGAAAATATATGGGCAAAGAAGTGTCAAGGAACAAAAAAATGCGTTCTGCCTGTAACTCCCAATTCTGCCACCAGGGGGAGGAGTTGAAACGTACCGGCTGCAAAGACAGGCATGTATTTTCACCTGAGAAATTCTAGTCTGGTCTTATTTGACGAGCAAGTATCACCAGAATGGGGTGATATGGTGAAATATCACCCCATTCTGGGATGATATTTGGACCAATAGTCTTGATGATCCACCCAGAAGCAGAAAATCCTCCAATACATCTTTAAGCAGTTGCCTTGTGTATGAACTGTGCAATAAAAATAATCTTGCCTTGCCTTGCTAACAATGACATACTGTAATACTATTAGAGGACTGAGACAGGAGCTTTTACAGCTCGGGTCAGAGTTACATTATGCAAGATTGTGATGTTAGCATGGATGCATTTAAAAACAACTCAAAGTCTGTTTATGATGATTTAGAATGAAAGTTAATTATAAAAACATACGACCTCTTTAAACCAAATATTTACGTTACCTCCATCTTGTTTGAATGTTGTTTGAATGTTTTGCTCAGATATATATTCATGGTTTTGTTTACAGTCACACTTTAGTTTAGCCCTCACTTATTGACAGCTAATAAAGAGCTATTTTTAAGCCCTTATTCTACATGGCCTTATTCAACATCTAACGACTTACTGAGACTTTCAAATGCGGGTTAGGGCTAGGGTTTGGGTACAGCAATTAGCACTTAATTAACTGTTAATTAGTAAAGGCTAATCTAAAGTGTGACCCAATTTACTTTCAGGCCCCACCACTAAACCATGTGGTGTAATCAGTCACACAGAATTATTAGCATTTCTTACATTTCTTTTCCTTCACTTTTCCTCCTCTCTCTCTTCTTTTCAGCTTTGGTCTGTTTTCCTCCCAGCAGCGACGTGATCTTCTGCTCTCTCTTTTCCTCCTTCACTTTCGGTGCATCCGTCTTTTTACTCGGCGCCGGCAATTTGCTCTTTCTAAACCCAAACCAATTTGCCAAACTTGACCCTGATTTGGGCTTCACTTCCGTCGTCCTGTCTTGCTCCTGCGACTTGTGCAGATTTTCCTCAATACCGATCATAACCTTCTCTTCAATAGTGGTGATTGTGCTCTGTCTCTCCGGCTCTTCCTCCGACACGGGCTCTCCGAAAGCGCTCGAAAACTGCTGTTCGATCTGCAGTCGTCTGGCTTGCTCTCGCTGTAGTTTTAGACTTTGCAATCTTTCGCTGGATGAGCCCAAATGGGATGGAGCTTGTAATCCTTCTTCAATTAAAAAGTTGTTCAAAAGTGACCTATTCATGGGACAATGGTAGCTACTGGAACAGCTCATGCTACCAGGAAGGACATCGCCGAGAGAATTAAGCGAACTTCCAGAGTGGGTTTTGATTTGCGTTCGAACTTTGCCAGATCGATTGAAACTGGGTCTATCCATGTAGCGTGCTCCAAAACTTTGACTACGAGCTTTGGCTCCGTTCATACCCATTACAGGCTTGAACGGAGGTCTAGTTGAGACAGAAACCGATCTTTTGAACAACCAACCTTCTTCGTCAAATCCCCAATCTAACATCACTCCGTGTTCAGGTAACTGTGGTTGTGCGCAAGGCTCAGAGTCCAACGAATTACAACGCATACTCGCTGCTCTACGCCGAGCTTTTTCGTCTTGCATCTTTTGAGGGTCGCAAGAAAACGATTGAAATGTCTTCAGGCATTTTGCCTCGTCTTTGCCCGGTCGTTCGAAAACAAGAAACGCATTGCTCTCCTGTCCACCGATTGCTTCGTGAGACTTCGCATTGACGGGGATTGACATTTTGACTGCTCTTGACATGGAACTCTGCGGGTTATGCACAATTCCGTGATAGAAAACATTTGAGTAGGTATGTGGGAGCGCTTCAGACAGCTTTGGCTCGCTTATACTTTGTTGAGATCGTTGCAGGATGTTCTGACTCGCCAAAATAAAGTGTGGACCGTTTTCATTATGACAAGGGACGATGGACGGCACCGCCTGCGAATCGTGAACTTGAAATATTCTCGCCAAACCAATATGCGTGTCTACCTTTGCATACTGATTGTCTTGTCCACATAGAAGCTGGTTCGATTTGGCTGAATTTGAAGTTTTCACCCCAAGAGGCATGTACGTTTTAGAATCAGAGCTGGATCTAAGAAGTAGAGAAGTACTCCGTCCAGGGGGAAGTGGCGGGGGTGACGGAGGCCTGTGTTCTGAATTGGGAACATCGTAATCCTGTCTTCTTTGCTTTCTTGGCGAACACAGCAAGTGCTCGTAGACCCCATCTTCAATCGTCTCGTTGTTGGACTGACATCTTGTGATTTGCATCGGGATCTTGGTTGGACTTTTTAAGCCTTCTTGCGGCTTGAATGGTTTGGAATTCTTAACGGGAGATGCTAGGGGAGATCTATTCTGCACGTTATCGAGAGACTTTGAAGTTGTCACCACCTCATGCTCTTCCCTGTCAATTTTACCAAACTGATTTTTGCCTCCACCGTGCGTTTTGCTATAATTTGTCCGTTTACTTGCGTTACTCTGCCCGGAAGGACTGGCTTGGGCTTTCTGCTTGTGATCCTTGATTAGCTTTTGGTGCAGAGGTGAGTGAGTATGTTTTGCTTGATCTTGTCCACCATCCGCACTCTTGCTCCTCAGAATGAACGCCCTCCTTGCTGAATCGCTTAATTCTAGATTTTGCCCCAGATAAGAAGAGTCATTTGCTCCATTTCCCTGGGTTTCCACTTGACTTGCTTGGTCCCTGCGTTGAGGCACCTCCATAGACGAACTCCTCTGCCTCGCTTCGCTACTTAGAGCCCGAGTTGCTGGGCTTTGAATACTTCCTTTCTCCAATTGTTTCAGTCCACCGTGTTGCTTTCTGACCTGATCCAACCTCGACTTCCTATCACTTGTCTTTTCTTGGTTATTATTCTTATCATTTAGTTTCAAACACTTTTGCCTCTCTAGGGAATTGTCTTCTTCCGTTTGCATCAAGCCATCTGTCGGGCTAACTCCTGGTTTGACCGTTGGCAAGAATGAGAAATTGTCCATCACTGGGGACTGCAAAAGACTAGCACTTCCAGATACTTTTGAATCTTCAAGTTTTTCTAAGCCAGGAAGCTTCTTAGCTGGTTGCCCGCAAGCCTCACCATTTATGGCTACATCTTCAGTCTTGTCTTTATTGGCTTTGCTAGCAGGAGTTGTTTGCTTAGTCGCGCAAACTTTCTGCTGACCACACTTGATCCCAAAAGAGTATATCCCTTCGTTTGAAGTCATACAGTCCTTGCATTGTGGTGCGGATGGAAGTAAGGAAGCCTCTTTGGGACACATTTGAAGACGCTTCAGTCCTTTTAGGATGTGGCCTTCTTTCCAGCCGATCTCTGTTGGTTCAATGGGAGCAGAGTGATTGCTGGAGAAGGATCCACTGCTCATACGCTTGTCTCGACCTCCACCACACTGTAAATAAAGAAGGAAAACGATCAGTATTGCACACAAGACTTTGATTGGAAATATTAGTGATAAGTAGGGATGCATTAATATTGGGGTCCAATTTGTGTGATTAACATTAACACAAGATCAGGAAATTGTTCAAAAGTGACTTATTCAATAAGTCACTATTCTTCTTTTTAAAATGATGGTCTGGTATCTGGTTTACTACATGAAAGTAATAACTTTGTTTCTACTCTGTGTAAAAAAAAGAATCTCTGAATCAAATATGGATCTGAAAATATTTTACAAACTTCAGCTCACTCAAAGGGTCAGGTCCAAGACACAGAGACAGAGTTACTATAGGAAATTTGACTAATGTATAAAACAGTTCTCTTCTTGTTCTACTAATGGACAAAAGAGGGATTTGGATACATGTAAAACAATATATATCTTCTGATTATTAAAATGTATTTGTCGGCCTTTTGTCACACTTTTGTCCCCTTTAGCGCGAACAAGCCCAGATACTGGCAGTAGTAGACTTTGACTTCAACAATCACCTGCTTGGATAATCCACGGCCCTCAGCCCAGGTGTGAGAGCCAGAGGAGTACTCGCTGCAGCCGCTGGACAGGGACAGGTCACTGCCGGAGCTCCTGGGGCAGGTGAGGCTGAGCAGACTGGGCCACCTCCCCACCGCCACGCTGGCTTTTCCATTCCTCTGCAAGTCCTGGAAGACAGACGAGACAGCAGCGGTGAGCTGGTGGTAGTTACCTTTATCTTTATCTTGTTGGTACAACGTTTAAACTGTCAATGTGTTTTTCTAAAGGGCTGCTATGTGAATAGGGTGGTACCTCTGATTACTGCCCCCCTGACCCAGAAATTGATAATAAAGAGCGTTTGCGTGTCTTGATCTTGTTTCTTGGTGTTAATGTGTGTGTGTGCGTGTGTGTGTGTGTGTGTGTGTGTATGATATTGCTGTCATGTGTTTTGCTGGAGGGTATTGTAGGGATTTGATTCTTTTGTATCCTTACACTGCAAAAATGATCAGATATGAGGTAATAAATGCTTAAATTGATGTTTTTTTTTATCTGAATACGACACAAGGTGACTGTGTTCAAACAAGATTCTCAAATGGGACAACGACATTTAGACTTATTTCAAGAACTGTTGCCTTATTTCTTCATTCCAAGGGAGACATTTTGTATCCTTCTAAAACAAGATAATTTTGCTTTGTCCCATTGGCAAATCTAGTTATAAGGCTCAATCTGAATGTGCTAAAAAAAAGGACAAATTTAGCCACATTTTTTAGACATTTTTGACCTGTTTTTCATCCCTTTTTGCAGTGTATATTTCTGATGGAAGCAAACACACACTGTATGCCTGCACTTTCCCAGCAGCTGGAAAGACGCTCGCTTCGTCTCCTGCCAAACCAATATTTCCTGATGTTAAGTTTTCCAATATCAATTTCCTGGGACTCTCTATCGTTCCACAGTCTGAACAATATAGAACTATGCGGTGGGGCCCCTGGGCGCTCTATTCGTCCCTGTCACGCCTCTCTGTGAATCAATATCCCGGACACACGGCTGTCTCTTCTCATCCTCAGGCTAATTGAAAAATGAATTGACATTTTCCACTCTGCAGGTTTTTACGGCTCTGGCTTTAAAATACCAAGTTGTTGTAGAGTTTGTCCTGTCTGAAGTATGTTGTAAAGAAGCGAGCAGAGACATGCCATGAATAGTTAATTGGACGAATAAAATGTGGTACTGAGGCGAAGAGTTCAGCGGAAAGAACGTGATTTGTTTGCAAAGTAGTGAGACAGCTCCATCTAGAGGTCGAAGTGGTAGGTACCATTCTGCTAGCTTAGCATCTAACATTGCACCGTTTATTTGAGATTTATTTGACAGTAGATATTCCCACAACCGTGGCGTCCCCTGCCTGTGAAAGCCAGATCCTGTTAGACCTCTCTGAAGCTAAGCAGGGCAGGACCTGGTAAGTACTGTGATGGTAGACCTCTGCGGAATGCCAAACTGTCATTGTGCCCTTAAAGGATTGGAAGATTTACCCCCTTTTTTTGGGAGGACCAATAGTCTTGATGATCCACCCGGAAGAAGAAAATCCTCCTTTAAGCAAGACACTTCCCCCACATTAGAATGAGTCTGGTGTGTGTGTGAATGGTTGGTGGTGGTGGGAGGTGCTGATGGCACAGATTGGTTGCCTCGCTTCTGTCAGTGTGCCCCAGGGCAGCTGTGGTGGCAGTAGTACTGAATAATGACACGTGAAGTGTCTTGAAGTGTCCAAAAAAAGTGCTGTTTTAAAACTTATGCAATCATAAATAATGATAATAAAAACAAAGTGACCAATCAACTATTGGACAAAAGCATCAAATAGTGACTAAAAGACTCATTTGTAAATAATAAAAAGCTTAAGGTGCAAGTGTATTTCTGCGGAAAAGTCAGGTGTCCCAGCTTTAATAGTAAATCTGGTGAGTTAATATTTCTGCAAATCATACATTTTCATCAATTTATCTCACTTCCTAAAAGAGGAATAGCCAAAATAAGTATTCTCAAGATCACTTTTTAACATTAAGACATTGTCACACACACTTCAAAAAGCGATGAAAAATAAGTCAAACTTGTCAAAACGTGTCTTAATCTGAGCACAGTCTGAGTTCAAACCAGATTCTCCAATGAGACAAAGACATTTAGTCATATTTTAAGAACTTTTCTCATTCCAAGGGAAACATTTCTGTATCTTTTTAATAAAAGATCATTTTGCTTTGTCCTGTTGGGGAATCTTGTTTTCTCAACATGTGCTCAAATCAAGACTAGTTTTTTGCCAAAATCGAGCAATTTTTTTACATAATTTGCATCACTTTTTGCAGTGCAATGGGAATTTTCAATGTTGCACCACACATAATAAGTAAACAATAACTCTAAAATATAATAAAATCTCTAACTTTAGCAAAGTAAAGAAGGCAAAATGATCACAGCCAATAAATTAAACTATATTACTACAACTTAGCAGCAAAAACAGGACGTTCTTATGTAAACATCTGAAAATGGCCACCACTTTCACACACTGTTCTTTCTTTTGCTTCTGAGATGTTTTTATCTGGTGGTTTTTTGTGAACAACAGAGAAATAAATGCCTTGAGAAACCTGCAAAAGCTCATTAGTTTTAGCGCCGGAGCATTGATATCTGAGGACAGCACCTTCTTTCAAAATGTCAACCACAGATAATGGACGGATCTGCTTTAAAACAACCATCGGATTATGTTTCAGTCAAACGCTTTTGTGTTTGGAAGACAAGGCGCTATATAAATAAAAAATACTCACTCATTTTAATTAGAAGAAGAATCACCTTTTCGAAGGGTTTGGGTCCAACTATGCATTTATTCACACTATGTTAAAAGCATTTCTCTGAGTTGTTGATCAGGCAAATGTTTCTTACCTGTGTAATAGTAAGTTAGGAAGAAAGTTTAATTGTATAGCGCTTTCACAGACCAGGATCACAAAGCACTTCACATTCAAAAACAAACAATAACACACAACAGCAACACACAAGCAAGTCATCAACAAAAGTACTTCAGAAAGAATTTGCGCTAATGTCACACACACACACACCTACACACACACACACACACACACACACACACACACACACACTATACTGTTAATCCTGTTTTGGTTTAGTCTTTGAGTTTGTCCATTTGCTTTTGTTTTGTTGTTGTTTTTGTGCGTTTAGTTTCTTAGGTCCGGTTCATTTACTTTTGTTGTATGTATTTGATTATTCTGTTTATTTATTCATTTATTTATTTGACAGGGACAATGTAGTCATACATAGATACATCATGAAAAATGCAGCTAATGCGACACATACAGAGTGTGTAGCTAATGCTAATTTTCAACTCTTGTCCCTGGTTGAGCTTTTCCCTACAGTGCAACACATTAAACAGAATGAATAAAATAGGCCTAGCCCTAAAACACATATTTACAACAGTGATCTAACGTCAAGACATTCCCCCCACCAATGACAATACACATTCACAATGAAGAACACACTCACACAAACCAACATTCTGTCTTTTTTAGTTTTGTTTGAAAAAAAACCCATCACAAAGACATTAGTATCTGTCTCCGCGGCCTTCTCTGCAGACTGAGACCTGCGGCTCTTAAAGCCACGACCCAGTGGGTCGGCGAGTATCAGAGGTACCACCCTATTCACATAGCAGCCCTTTAGAAAAACACAGTGACAGTTTAAACGTTGTAACCAACAATGGATAAAGATATAGGTATCTACCACCTGCTCACCTGCTGCTGTCTCGTCAGTTCTTCAGGACTTGCAGAGGAATGGAAGCCAGGTGGCCGTTGGTGGGGAGGTTTGGCCCAGTCTGCTCAGCCTCACCGTGCCAGGAGCTCCGGCAGTGACCTGTCCCTGTCTCCAGCGGCTGCAGCGAGTCTAGCTCTTTCTGGCTGCTCACACCTGGGCCTGAGGTGCCGTGGATTATCAAGCAGGTGATTGTTGAAGTCAGTCTGCTAATGCCAGTATCTGGGCTTGTGCGCGCTAAAGGGGACAAAGGGTGCAAAAAGGCGACAATTACATTTTTTTTAATAATCAGAAGATTATTATATTGTTTTCATGTATCCAAATCCCTCTTTTTGTCCATTCGTAGAACAAGAAGGAGAAAACTGTATTATACATTAGTAAAATTCCTATAGTAACTCTGTCTCTTTGTCTTCGGACCTGGACCCTTTTGAGTGAGCTGAAAGTTTGTAAAATATTTTAGATCCATAGTTGTTTCAGGAGATTCTTTTTTTGACACACAGGTAGAAACAATGTTATTACTTTCAGTGTAGAAAACCAGATACCAGACCATCATTTTAAAAAGAAGATAGTGACTTATTGACTAAGTTCCCTTTTGAACAAACTTCTGTTTTGTGTAATGTAATCACACAAATTGGACCCCAATATTAATGGCATCCCTACTTTTCACTAATATTTCCAATCAAAGTCTTGTGTGCAATATGCTCGTTTTCCTTCTTTATTTACAGTGTGGTGGATGGTCGAGGCAGCGTTATCTATGAGCAGTGGATCCTTCTCAAGCAATCAACTCTTGCTCCATTGAACCCACAGAGATCGGCTGGAAAGAGGCCACATCCTAAAAGGACTGAAGCGTCTTCAAATGTTGTCCCTAAGGTGCTTTCCTTACTTCCATCCGCACCACCAATGATAGGACTGTATGACTTCAAACGCATAGGGAATACTCTTTTGGGATCAAGGGTGGTCAGCAGAAAGTTTGCGCGGACTCAGCAAACAACTCTGCTAGCAAAGCCACTAAAGACAAGATCTGAAGATGTAGCCATAAATGGTTGAGGTTGTGGGCAACCAGCTAAGAAGTTCTGGCTTTGAACGAACTTGAAGATTTCCAAAAGTATCAGTACTGTGCTGTCTTTTGCAGTCCCAGTGATGGACCAATTTCTCATTCTTGCAACGGTCCAAACCAGGAGTTAGCCCGACAGATTGGCCCTTGAGCAAACGAAAAGAAGAACAATTCCCTAGAGAGGCAAATGTGTTTGAAATAAATGATAAGAATAATAACAAAGAAAAGACAGTGATAGGAAGTCGAGGTTGGACAGGTCAGAAAGCCAACACGGTGGACTGAAACTCAGAATGGAGAAAGAAGTATTCAAAGCCAGCAAACACGGGGCTCTAAGTAGCGGAAGCGAGGCAGGGGAGGGGATTTTTTTCGGGGGTGTTTTTTTTTTTTTTTTCGTATGGGGAAGGTGCCTTCTTCCTCAAGCAGGGACCCAAGCAGTCAAGGTGGAACCAGGGAAATGGAGCAATGACTCTTCCTATTGGGGCAAAATCTAGAATTAAGCGATACAGCAAGGAGGGCGTTCATTTGAGGAGCAATGTGTGCGGATGGTGGTCAAGATCAAGCAAAACCTATCACTCACTCGGCACCAACAAGCTAATCAAGGCTCACAAGCGAAAAGCCCAAGCAGTCTTCCGGGCAGGAGTACCGCAAGTTAAACGGACAAATTATGCAAAACGCACGGTTGGAGGCAAAAATCAGTTGGTAAAATTAAAACTTGACAAGGAAGAGCATGAGATGGTGACACTCAAAGTCTCTGATAACGTGAGCATAGATCTCCCCTAGCATCTCCCGTTAAGAATTTCAAACCATTCAAGCGCAAGAAGCTAAAATGTCCCAACCAAGATCCCGATGCAAATCTCAAAGATGTAGGTCCAACAACGAGACGATTTGAGATGGGTCTCGTCGAGCACTTGCTGTTGTTCGCCAAGAAAGCAAAGAAGACAGGATTACGATGGTCCATTTCAGAACACAGGCCTCCGTCACCCCCGCCACTTCCCCCTGTGACGGAGTTACTTCTCTACTTCTTCGATCCCGCTTGTTCTAAAAGTACATGCTCTTGGGGTTGAACTTCAAATTCAGCGCCAAATCGCAAGAACTCAGCCTTCTATGTGGACAAGACAATATCAGTATGCAAGGTAGACACGCATTTTGGTTGGCTGAGCATATTTTAAGTTCACGTTCGCAGGCGGTGAGTCCATGGTCCTTGTCATAAGGAAAACGGTCCGCACAATATTTTGGCGAGTCCGAACATTCCTGCAAGATCTCAATCAAAGTAATAAGCGAGCCAAGCTGGTGCTGAAGCGCTTCCCACATACCTCCTTCAAATGTTTTCTATCACGGAATTGTGCCTAACCCGCAGAGTTCCATGTCAAGAGCAGTCAAAATGTCAATCCCCGTCAATGCGAAGTCTCACGAAAGCAATCGTGTGGGAAGGAGAGCAATGCGTTTCTTGTTTTCGACGACTCGGGCAAAGACGGGCAAACTGCCTGAAGACATTTCATCGTTTTCTTGCGGACCCTCAAAAGATGCAAGTCGAAAAGCTCGGCGTAGAGCAGCGAGTATGCGTTGTAATTCGTAGGACTCTGAGCTTGCGCACAAAACCACAGTTACCTGAACACGGAGTGATGTTAGATTGGGGATTTGACGAAGAAAGGTTGGTTGTTCATAAAGATCGGTTTCTGTTCAACTCCAGACCTCCGTTTCAAGCCTGGTAATGGGTAGCACGGGAAGCCAAAGCTCGTTGTCATAATTTTTGGAGCACGCTACATGGATAGACAGTTTCAATCGATTGGCAAGTGTTCCGAACGCAAATCCAAAACCCACTCTGGAAGTTGCTTAATTCTCTCGGCGATGTCCTTCTTTATGTGGGTAGCATGAGACTGTTCCGTAGCTACCATTGCCCATGAATTGGTCACCTTTGTGAACTACTTTTTAATTGAAGACGGATTTACAAGCTCATCCCATTTGAGGGCTCATCAGCGAAGAGATTGCAAAGTCTAAACACTACAGCCTGGCGAGAAAGCCGACGATCTGCAGACTTGAACAGCAGTTTTTCGAGCGCTTTCGGAGAGCCCGTTGTCGGAGGAAGAGGCCGGAGAGACAGAGCACATCACACTCTTGAAGAGAAAGGTTATGATCAGGTTGAGGAGTGGAAAATCTGCACAAGTCGCAGGGAGCAAGACAGGACGACGGAAGTGAAGCCCAAATCCGGGTCAAGTTTGGCAAATTGTTTGGGTTTAGAAAGAGCAATATTGCCGGCGGAACGACGAGTAAAAAATTAGACGGACTGCACCGAAAGTGGAAGGAGGAAAAAGAGAGAGCGAAGGATTCACGTCGCTGCTGGAGGAAAAACAGACCAAAGCTGAAAGAATGAGAGTGAGGAGGAAAATGAAGGAAACGAAATTGAAGAAATGCTAATAAGTCTGCACTGGTGTGATGATTAAACCACATGTTTTAGTGGTGGGGCCTGAAAGTATAATTGGGTGCACACTTTCGATTAGTCCTTTACTAATTAACAGTTTAATTAAGTGCTATTGCTGTACCCAAACCCCCTAGCTACCCCGCATTGGAAAGTCTCAGTAAGTAGGTAGATGTTGAAAAAGGCCATGTAGAATATGGGCTTAAAACTTGATAGTTTATTAGCTTCAATAAGTTGAGTGTCTAAACTAAGTGTGATGTAACAAAACCATGCATATATATTGACCAAAACAATTCAAACAAAATTCAAACAAGATGGAGGTACGTAATATTGGTTTAAAGGAGGAGTATGTTTTAATAATTAACTTTCTTCTAAATCATCATAAACAGACTTTGTGTTAGTTTTTAAATGCATCCATGCTAACATCACGAATCTTGCATAATGTAACTCTGACCCGAGCTGTAAAAGTCCTTTTCTCAGTCTCTAATAGTATTATGTCATTGTAGCAAGACAAAGCAAGATTATTTTTATTGCACAGTTCTACACAAATGGCAACTGCTTAAAGAGGTTTTGGAGGATTTTCTGCTTCGGGTGGTCATCAAGACTATTGGTCCAAATAATCTTCCCAGAACGGGGTGATTATTTCCCATATTCACCCATTTGTGATACTTGCTCGTCAAATAAGACCAGACAGTTTTGTGATTCGAACTAAATTACGTTTTGGTAATTTTCTCAGGTGAAAATTACATGCCTTTCCTTCTGCAGCCGGTACGTTTCAACTCCTTCCCCCTGGTGGCAGAATTGGGAGTTACAGGCAGAACGCATTTTTTTGTTCCTTGACCTTCTTTGGCCCATTTATTTTCTACCGAAATATTATATGTTGCCCCTCCCCCCCCCCCCCCCCCCCTTCTCAAACATGATTGGTCAAAGTAAAGTGTCTTCTCTATAATTTTTTAGGATGGCCAGAATAAGGCATACTAAATCTTCTTTACGGGCTAAAAATTAACGCAAAAAAAAGCTATATTTTTCTGTTTAGGAAGGTTTGTCTTGTCTTCTAATTCCAAATGCTTCTTTATTTCTATACTTGAGAGATAGGAAAGAATCTATCTTAACTGTTAAAAGAATGTTATGGACTAAGGATGGTGTCACAGAATTCACCCGATTGGAGAAATGGAGAAGAATCTGAGCCCCACAAACTCCAATATACTCAATATTTTCTTTAAACGTCACCATTAAACCACCACTACTTACTTGCATTGGTTTGTTCCAGCCTTCTATGACCATTTCAACATCTGCCCAAGGGTTTAACAAAGGAGATTTGGTCATTTCTCTTGTCCAATATTATTATTACTGCGCTGATGGTGATTCTTCACAGCATCTTCGCCGCATCAGTCACTTGGCCCCGGAAACAAGATTGTGACACATTTTATGAAGCTGGGTGCCATGGTTTTTTGAGCGATAGTGGCTTCATATATCAGCTGAAACCACTCAGGAGTGTAGGGGGCTTTGTTCTTTGGATGGATGGCTTTGTTGATAAATGTTTAATTTCTTACAGCTCTGTTACAAGAGAGGCCCATGATTGCAGTGCGGTCTGATCTCCAATGCCAGTGTCCTGGAATGTCATGACTGAACCTACAAGGCACGCAGTCGCCGCTGGAGACGCAAAGGTAAACGGCACAGAGGAATTTACTGGTTAATGCCGGCAGGATTTGGGGAATTGTTGGTAGTATTTTCTAAGGTCCAGTCAGAATATTGGGGTTGTTCACACTAATGGGGTACTAAAGTGTGACAAAACACATAGTAGATATCAAGAAGATATATTATTTTTTTCAGTGATCTCAAAAAATCCATTCTTCATCGTTAATAGAACTAGAAGAGAACTGTTTTATACATTAGTCACATGTCTTATAGAAACTGTTTCTCTGTGTCTCGGACCTGATCCTTTGAATGAGATGAAGGTTGTTACATATTTTTCAGATTCACATTTGTTGCATTGTTTTACACAGGGTAGACAAAATTGTTTCTTTCATATAGTAAATTAATTAAATGTGATACCAGACCATTATCAAAGTGTTTTTCTCAATTTTAGTTTTTAGAAAGAATTGAGGGAAACTATTACGTCTGTGGCACATTTTTCAAGGGTCATTTACATTTTTATTTATTTATTTTTAAGATTCCTTTTTAAATGAAGTGATTTCCTCATGTTATGTTGATGTTAATCTGAGGACCTTTTATTTTCTCTGTCACTGAGTCACAGTAGAATTATCAAATCAGAGGCTGATCTGGGTTTTAACATTTTGCCAATAATGTATTTGCCAATCTTTTCTTTTGATTTTATTCACACTACCTCATTGATATATCTGTGTTTGAAACATTTATTTTTTCTAAATTATGATTAGTTTTTGAGTAATAACCTCAGATACTTCAATTGTCCCAAATAGTCTCCTCCAGAAAATGTTACTGAGGTTATGTCAAGGAGAGGGACTGTATTCCATGTATAGTTTTTTAGAAAAATACCTACTTTTTGTGATGCGAAGGCGTCATATGGACAATAATAAACATTATATTGCAAATTAAATTTTATTTTAAATACAATATTATCAATTCAGAATCAGAATTATTTATTTGCCATTGTAAGTAACAGGAACTCACAAACTAGGATTTGGTTCATGGTGCAAACAAGATGTAAGGGTACAAACAGATGAAGACATGCATAAAAAACAAAAATGACTACTATATACAAGTGTACACAATTCTACCCTTATCTTCCCACCTCCACTCTCAGATTATCTACTCATTATTTACATTATCTTTCAACTTTCTCTGCTCACAGCTCCCGATGCTAAACAGGAGATCTGACAGCGACAACGGATCTGCGGTAACAAGCCCCTCTCAAGACGCCATCATAGGTCTGAAAATGATTTCGTTTTTACTTCCTCCTCTGACCAAGAAATGTCTTTTAAGCGGTAGCTTTAAGACTGTGCTTTACCGTTTTGCAGTTTGCAGACAGAAGTGAAGACCAAAAATGACTAATATGTGTAAGTGAAGAGTGGTGGTGACCGATGCTAGCCTGTCCGCTCCATGTTTCTTTTACTCATTTGCTTGTTGTGCTGTTTTTCTGCATTCGTGATGATTTTTTAACCAAAACATTGAAACATTACCAGTGGGTTTGAGAAGTGATTGCTTGTGTTTTCGTGGCTTCATTCTATAAAATGCATGCAAACGACACAGGCATGGTGAAGGCACTCAAACTGTGTAATTATTGCTTTGAACATGGATTTAAAAAAAGGCTGTTTTCTTACAAATGTTGTGCTTTTTCACTTTTGTCATTTAATTCTTGGCACTGCACATTATGGATGCAATGCAAACCGGCATGATTTACAAAGCAACGAGCAGTAGTCTTAGCAACGTCATAAATATACATTCATATGAGTTTTCTGTTTGGCACAATAGTACGGTAATCCAATACAGGAAGCAGGTAACTCAGTAGTAGTAGTAGTGGTAATGTTAGTGAGTGTGGGATAGCTTTTTTCTCACTAGATACGGGCTAGGATATGAAAAAAAGAAAAATGGTAGTGGTGGTAGTGGTAGTAATAGTGGTAGTGGAAGTAGTGGTAGTAGTAGTGGTGGTAGTGATAGTAGTGGTAGTAGTGGTTGGTAGTAGCAGCAGCAGCAGTAGTTGTCGTCGTCTTAGCAAAATTCTGTGAACCATCTTTCCCAAAACAAATTGTAAAATCAATTCAATTCAATTTGTTTCCATTGGTCACGTAGCCATTGGTCGAAAAGGTCCATGAGCACGTGCGCTGACCTACTTGCAACACTACTCCAGGCCTGTGGGGGTGTACCCAGAACGAGATTTACCCAATGCTTTTGTATGGCGTCTTCTTTCCTCTTGAAAACGTCTTTGCCGGATGGTCCAAAAGTGGCTCTTGGCCCAAAATGTCTCTCTTGGTCCAAAGCTACGCTCCAGATGCTGTCCAGGGAAGTACACCACCGTTCAAAAGTTTGGGGTCATCCAAGTGTTTTCCATGAAAAGTCACACTTATTCACCACCGTATGTTGTGAAATGAATAGAAAATAGAGTCAAGACATTGACAGGGTTAGAAATAATGATTTGTATTTGAAATAAGATTTGTTTTACATCCAACTTTTCGTCAAAGAATCCTCCATTTGCAGCAATTACAACATTGCACCAAAAACCAGACATTTGCAGCTAGAATAGTCATTTACCACATACAGTAAGCAATGTATAGAGTGTATTTCTTTACAGTTAAGACTAGTTTAAAGTTATCTACAGTGCTTTTCCTTCAAAAATAAGGACATTTCAATATGACCCCAAACTTTTGAACGGTAGTGTATGTTTTTTAGACCAGTCTAGTTTAGCCGCTGTGGACTTCAGAAGCCACAAGTGATGTCACATTAGTTTCACCGGCGGAGCTAGGCGTGACTGCATCTGTTAATATATACAGTCTATGGGGCTTACACATTATTCAAAGTGCATAAAAACTCCCACAATCTTAGCATATCCTCTGCAGGAGTCTTGGGTCTTGTTAAGGACAGGTAGAGGACTTTCTGCAGAGCGCTCCGCCATCATCCAGCTCATTGCAAAAATCAAACGCAGCTGATTCGGACTCTTGCCCCTGAGGGTTAATCACCTCATTAAAATTTCATTGGTGCCTGGCTAAGCTCACTCATCCGAACCACAACTCAGAGAATTAGCGCTGCCTTCAGCTCATGTTGTGATCGGAATAGATTTAAGCAGCCTGGACCCGGGTCACGGTCCACGGCCCCGATATGCTCTCGGTCAAACAGTTGACTACGCACTTTTTTAATTTGATGCTTAAGACAAACAAGAAAAAGAAAAGAACACGTTATGGACAATGACTGGGAGAGATGAACTGGTTAACTGTGTGTAGACTTGATTTAATTTGATTTTTATCCCTTTATTATTCCATTTCTGGGTCAGGGGGGTAGCAATCAGAGCTGCACCCAAATCACAAAGCACCGGCCCCTCGCTGATCCTCCGGCAGGTGGGGGGTCCACAGGAATATGGCTGCTCTTTCAAAGCAAATATGGCCTTGGCCTTTAAGCGGGGGCTTCAGGCAAAGTGTCTTGCCCAGGGACACAACAAAAGCAGACCTCAGTGGGAGCAGATGACATGGGTCGTGGTGGGATTGAACCCACGACCATTAGGTCCAAAGACCAATGCTTTACCAACTATATATAAATAGCCTGGACTTGACAAAATAGTTAAGTTGATAAATAATATGCATTTTCAAAAAACAACTGTGAAGGAGAGAATGAGCAGACCCCAGAATCTCACCAGACCAGCTCCCCCGAAATCACATCAGAAACAGGCAACTATCACAATGTTTTTGTATGGATTAAATGGTATTAGATATTAAATTTGTTTTTAATTGTCTTTTAAAAGGTTAATTTTGAACATAGTTTTTAGAGCAGGAGCTATATGATTCCAGAGTGATAGGCCTCTATATTAAAGTGTTTTTTGTTTGGCCGTACTTCTACCAAAGGGATTTGAACCCTGCAAGAGGAATGTTTAGCAAATGCTATTGCTGCAAAGATGTTGTGGCACTACTCAGCACGTATTCCATTAGTGGCAAAGGAGATGGCTAAAGCTAGGCTAACCTCAGATCCAATTGTTTCAATCTGCAAAATGAGTTAACCCCTCCCAGACCTTAGTACGAAATGAAATGAGTACCATGGTATGGTAAGACCGGGCTAATGTTTGCCCAGCTTCCTCCAAACTTCCTTTAAGTGTGTTCACCGGCTCCAACTAAATCTGCATGAAATACTGCTGATGAAATGCAGTTGGATCGTAGTTTGGAGCTGGATAATCTATGAAACTATCACAACAATTGATTAATGCGGGTTATAAGTGGATTAGTATTTGTAGAGAGGGAAGAGAGGAGAAAGATGCTGCAGCGAGGGCTGGAGGAGGTTTAGAACTAGGTAATAAATCAATGAAAGTGAAGCTAAAGTTGGTTGGTGGGAGAGCGGCGAGGATATATCAAATGAACTGCAAAACTATTTATTTCAAAACAAAATATTAGTTATTTTATGAACGCCCTGCTCTGCTCACAGCACTTGGTTTACATTGGGTTTCATCATGTGACCTCCAGACTTTTCTGAATCATTTAAAGAGTTCTCCTGTATTTACTATTATTACCATTTTGTAACAGGTCATTCAATTCCAATATTTCACACTTGTTTGTCTCATGAGACACAGGAAAGGCAGCAATTACAACATTTCTAAAGATCAAATTTTTCACTCAAGTCTATCCTGGTCTTACCACACCATCGTACTTATTTCATTTTGTACTACGGTCTGGATTTGCTCCGTTGAGCTCTGTTAACAGGTGGGAGGGGTTAACTCCTTTTGCAGATTGAAACGTTTGGATCTGAGTTTACCGTGACGTATGTAATGCGCCCGGGTGAGTGAGGCGTTTAGCATTTAGCCTAGCTTTAGCATTTAGCCTAGCTTTTGCCACTCCTTTGCCACTAGCATCAATTTATCAACAACAGATCAGAGAATCAATTAGAACTCAAGAAATTGCACTCCCGCTTCATCCGTTGCTGGGTTGCGGTGTCCCGGGTTTCCCTGGACTCCTACCAGTGGCACAGGCCTGGAAAACTCGACATGGAGAAGCAACGGCTCGACTTTGAGCTCCCCTCTCTCCAAGGAGCCCAGCCGCTCGGCGGAGGAAGCTCATATTGATGCAATATCGTCCTTTCAGTCATAACCCAAAGGTCCATTGGTCCATAGGGTACTACTACTACTACTACTACCACCACTACTACTACACTACAACTACTTCTTCTACTACTACTACTACTTTTTCTACTACTACTCCTTTGTTTGCTCCAAAGTGGGTAAAATCCAGTGTTGCAGCGCACATGCAGGACAGTTGGCAAAATACAGGTCACAAAATACACAATAAAAGTAACTGTTATGCGACATTCTGAAAATGAGGTATTGCACATTGCTCATGATTGCAGTATTTACTATCTACAGAGGAATGACATGTACAGGCTCAGCAGTTCTCATTGTACAGTCTGACAGCAACAGGAAGGACAGACCTGCGTAACCTCTCCTTTACACAGCAAGGGTGAATAAGTCTGTCACTGAAGCTACTCTCCAGAGCAGACAGAGTGACCTGCAGGGGGCGACAGTCAAGATCCAGGATTAGTACTTTTTCCTGCTGTCGAATCCTTTGTTTTATTGCATCTTTTTGTGACAAGTTGGATAATGCGTCTGTGGGTCGTCTCTGAAACTCGCTTTGACAAAGGAGAGTTTTAGTGCAGACCAGGAAGCTTGTTGAGTACAATCAATCGTCTGTAATTCTGCTTTTCTTGGCAACACCATGCCACACCGGCCCGCCTTAAACTCCCAAATAAAGACCTGACTAATCAATATGTCTACGGCTCTGTCCTGTGGCTCTTCGCTTCAATTACTTCGCCGCCGCCTTGTTTACGCCGCGATAGAAAAGACAATTTTCATCTGCGTTTAATACAACAGCGTGGAGGCGATGCCAACTCATTTAGAATTCAAATAAGGGCGATTTTATGTAATGCGTGTGGAATATTACCAATTGCAGCAAATGGTGTTGATGTGTTCCTTGGTCAAAGTTGAATGATTCCACTATGTATGCAAGAAGGACTTCATCGAAAGACAAAACGAGAAATGGTAGCCTGTAATTTGCTTTCTAATCATTGCTTTACGGTAGACTGCGAGAGCCGAATAGTGTTGGGGTTGTAAAAAGAGTCAAATATGAAATTGGGTAAGAAATAGGTTTTATATGGAGCAGCATTTGGGAATCATACTATATTCAAAGCTAGCATAAAGGCTAATACAGCTATTTTCTAACTTGAAGTGTGTACACTGCAAAAAGTGATGAAAAACAAGCCAAAAAGTTCTCAAATTTGACAAAATACGTCTTGATTTGAGCAGATTTCAACTGGCTTGACTCTCACCAGATCCTTTTAGTTCCGCCATGCTCCACAAGAGGCGTTTGGCTGAACACAAGGGTCTGGGATCGACACCAATGCAAACTCCTTCAGGAGATCAATAAATAATTGGCCGATCGCCGGTACTATGTCGGGTTTTCATCGCCTTCTCGTGCGTGTCTCACGCGGAAGCGAAAGCAATCCAAGATGGCGGACATAAAGTCCAAGAATGTTTTTAAAGATAAAGATTCAGATAAAAACTACTTGATTCATGTATTACCTCATACTTGATCATTTTTTGCAGTGTAAAATGGTGGTGCTTACAGATCGCAAGACAGAACGAGAAGTTGTAGCCTATAATTTGCTTCTAAATTATTGCTTTATTGTAGAGTGTGAGAGCCGATAGTGTTTTGGGTCATTTTCAGGTAATAACCATTTGCTATGTTTGAAATCACACCATATTCAAAGCAATGCTAATACAGATATTTCATTACTTTTAGCTTTAAGTGTTTTCTGCAAGCACCAAAATGATATTCTCCGCAATCCATCGTGTTTTTCACATCTATTTTGCATCGTCGCGTTATAAAGTGACAGAAGGCTCAATGTACCTTTTTCTAAATGGTCTAATCAAGGGTTTGGGAGGAGGAAGTGTCTGTACTGTCAAACAATGCATCTGCAATCAACACTTCCCAATCCTGCAACTTTAGATAAACGTTGAATTTGCTCTGCTTTGTAGTGCCTCAGAGTTTTGCATGTAACCGAGGCAGGTTTTTTTGTATAGCGCAATCAAACCACATCACATACACTTCAGATGTATTCATAAAACTTGACCTTATGTATTAACAATTTCTCTATTTCTCTTTTATTCACATTAGAATCATTGGTTATTGTTTTTGGTGCTATATAATCAAATGATATGGTATTCAAATGTTGTAGTCATGGCTGCCCTGGGGCGGGTGTGGCTGCCTACACAGACCAAAACAGGAATTGGTAACATGCATTTCATAGATTCAGATTCATTTTCTCTCTGGTCTCTCTCTCGGGCCTCTCACTTCGGTCTCTCTCTGTTCTCATTCTGGCCTCTCTGGTCTTTCTCTCTCTGGTCTCTCACTGGTCTCTCTCTCTCTCTGGTCTCTCTCTCTGTTCTCTCTGCTCTCTCTCTGTTCTCTCTGCTCTCTCTCTCTCTCTGGTGTCTCTCTCTCTGGCCTCTCTCTGGTCTCTCTCTCTGGTCTCTCTCTCTGGTCTCTCTCTCTGGTCTCTCTCTCTGGTCTCTCTCTCTGGTCTCTCTCTCTGTTCTCTCTCTCTGTTCTCTCTCTCTGGTCTCTCTCTGGTCTCTCTCTCTGGTCTCTCTCTCTGTTCTCTCTGCTCTCTCTCTGTTCTCTCTGCTCTCTCTCTGTTCTCTCTGCTCTCTCTCTCTCTGGTGTCTCTCTCTGGCCTCTCTCTGGTCTCTCTCTCTGTTCTCTCTCTCTCTGGTCTCTCTCTGGTCTCTCTCTCTGGTCTTTCTCTCTCTGGTCTCTCACTGGTCTCTCTCTCTCTGGTGTCTCTCTCTGGTCTCTCCGGTCTCTCTCTTTGGTCTCTTTCTCTGGTGAGACACTCTCTCTCTGGTGTCTCTCTCTGGTGTCTCTCTTTGGTGTCTCTCTCTGTTCTCTCTCTAGTCCCTCTCTCTAGTCACTCGCTCTGGTCTCTCTCTGGTCTTTCTCTCTCTGGTCTTTCTCTCTCTGGTCTCTCTCTCTCTCTGGTCTCTCTCTTTGGTGTCTCTCTGTTCTCTCTCTCTGGTCTCTCTGTCTCTCTGCTCTCTCTCTCTCTCTCTCTCTAATCTCTCTCTGGTCTCTCTGGTCTCTCTCTCTAGTCTTTCTCTCTCTCTCTCTCTCTCTGATCTCTTTCTTTCTGGCCTCTTTCTTAAAAACCTGGTTAGTGTTTTTGTCCCATTCCAGATCATTAGACAGCGTTAAATGAATCTAACTAAATGTAGTTGTGGTTTCAAAGTCACGTACGAACTCCCGCTCCCACACTCCGCAGCGTCTTCCCTGAAAGTTAAGTTTGCTTTAAGTTAACTCACCGAGTGCAATTGTAAAGTGGAAGCCTCTATGTAGATGAGCCAATGAATAAATTGTGAGCCGCAGCTGCCTCGGCTCCTGTGTAACTGCCTCCAGCTCACGCTAAAGGCTGATCACCGTCTGTGGCACTAGCTTCAAGAAATCACGAACAAATCCACTCCCTGCTCAGGTGCTCAGCTGAATGTGACTGCTTCCAATACGGTTCTGTTTCTCGGTGGCTGTTGAACATGTATTTTTGGTCAAATACATGCGTTTGTGGTGTATCGGTGCCATGACCTGCATTTTTGTATTGAATGTGACCAGTGCATGCAAACTAACCCTAACCCTTACAGTGCTGTGTGGCACATAAAAAAACATTGGTTCAAGTGGTTTCTACTGCGAAAAATGATGAGGAATAAGTTATAAAAAAATCTCAAATTTGGTGAAATGTTTCTTAGTTTGAGCACATTCTGACTGAGCCTTAAAATAAGATTTGCCGATGGGACAAAGCAAATTGATCTTGTTTTCAAAAGATACAGGGTAACACTTTATAATAACTACACCTTATTTAGGCTTAAATGTTTAAATAATACTTAATAAATCATGCACTGCAGTATTAGTTTATAATCATGTATACAATTATTAATCATTAACATGTGTTTAAATAATGGTGTAACAAACCATCTATATATTTAGTAACAAATGATTACATCATAATTATTAAATAATAATGAACAAGTGAATTACTTGAAGATGTATTCATTATGAGTTAAACATGTATTAACTGTAGTAGTTAGTAGTTATTAAGTGTTGGTCACACTTTATCAATGAATTGTTCATGATTAATTAAGTGTTATTTATTTATTAAGCCTAAATCAGGTGTAGTTATTATAAAGTGTTACCAGATACAGAAATGTCTCCCTTGGAATGAGAAAATAAACCAACAGCGCTTAAAATAAGACTACTTTTGTCCCATTGGAGAATCTTGTTTTAACACAGTCAGAATGTGTCAGATTAAAATAAAAACACTTGATTTAAGCATTTTTTACCTCATTTTTTATCATTTGTGCAGTGTTTAAATATATTCACGGAGTAGCTTGGTTTTTCCCGATCGAACAATTATATTGCCGCCTCACTGCTGTAATTGGATTGGCCGGAACCACCATTTTTAATTTATAAATATTAGCCAAGCGAATAAATGAGTTTGAAAAATGTCAGCTATGTCTGTTTACGAGAAGAGAGTTCCTAATGCAAAAACTAGTGAGTGCGACATGGGACTGGTTTCACAAAGACAAGAAGCAAAGTCTCTCACTGGAAAGAAATATCTTGAAAAAAATATATGAAAATAAGTAAAACACTAAATGGAATAATAAAAATGAACTGTCACGTGGGTGAAAAACAAATGAGGCCCAAAAGGCAAAAACTGCAAAATGATGGATTTAATGAAAGTAATACAAATCAAGACCTACCAAAAACACAGGGAACGGACAGAACTAAAACAGACTAGGAACGACAATGACGGAACAGGGAGTGAAGGAACACACAGGGCTAAATACAAGACTAACGAGACACAGGTGAGACAGATTAGGGCAGGGCAGGTAATCAGACAACAGGAAGTACAACCAAAGAAGACACAGGGATAACACATTTCAAAATAAAACAGGAAATAAACTTAAACCATGACATGATCTGCCAATAGAACAAGAAAATATGACTTCAGAAGAAAATAATAATAGCCTCAAATTACTTGATTCTAGTTTAAAAACATACATTTTTGAGAAAGTTTTTCTTAAACTTTTGCATAAAAAAATATTTTATCTAAACAAGAAAAGTTGTCTGGAAATAAGAAAAAAATACAAGCTTAAAACTTCAAAGTTCAGACTTTTTTCCCTAAGATTAGTATTATTATCTTTAAACTAATAAAATAATCTTGTGACAAACTACATTAATTCAAAAAAACAATTGCCATTAATAAAAAGCATAATTTATATATATGTATATATTTGTTTTTTTTTTTAGTTTACAGACCATTTCAAAGCAAGGTTTAGTTTTTGGTTTGGCTTAATCTCTGGAAAAGTAAGTTTTTGTAAATGACAAATAAAATACTTTAACCAGCTGAAAACAACTAGGAAAGAGTGAATACAGTACAGTAAATGTTTCCCGTCGTCATAACATTATCGACATAACAGACAAAAAAAACAAAAATAAATGATTTTAAATGAATAAATGAAATGAAATAAAAAAGACAGAAAACAAATAAATGTAAATATTTGTCAATAAAATGAATAAAAGTGTGCTCTTGTGAAACTTGTCCCTGGTCTGAAAATCAAATCAATTCAACATATATGTTTGTATAGCCCTAAATGACAACAGTATTATCTCTGGGAATTGTCGATTTGTCAACACAGATCAGAGAATCCAAAAACACTCAGAGCCATTGGTCCGTAAGAGTTAAGAGATGTCCATAAATGTTTTTAAATGTTGAATCTTCCACTTCAACCATAGATGTGTGTCCCTGCTGTGCGTCTCCTGCCTGCCTTTGTTGAACCACAGATGCTCTGCTTGTGCCCAGGCTCTGGATGCACGATGCGAACATTGGACAGTGGAATTGGGACCATCCCTTTGCCTGAATCCTGCTCCTTCTTCTCCTCCATCCTGCACCTCCTCCCCAAGTCCTCGTCTTCCCCCGAGCAGGCCCTGAGCCCCTCCCCCCTGCCCCGCTGGAGGGTGCCCAGTTCCTTGTCCGATCCGTCAGTGCCTTTTCCCTCCGTGGCCTTCGTGCAGCCCACCCCTCTGCCCCCAGACTCCCGCCTGAGCGCCGTGGCCCTGGGCCGCCTGCCCCGCCCCCCGTCAGGTACAGTCACACAGACACAAAGCAAATACACAGATTTATTTTGACACTGTCTTTTTAAATTCAGATACGAGCCTTATACAGATGGACCAATGAGATGCCTTCCTTTAGGGGGGAAACTCAAGCTTGCCATAGCAACCGTCTTAGCAACACTTCTAGCCCTGTTATAGCGTGAAGCTAACGCTGTCAATAACAAATGTTCCATATAAGGAAGTTGTCTCTAGCTTATGTACAATGTCACACTCAGTCAGTCCACTCCTAGTTTACAGTCTATGGTCACTGTGGAACTTGTGGATTTTGTTTCATTGTGAGGGGCTCAAACTTCACATATGTATCATTTATTTTACTTTGATTCAGTTGAAAAAGGAGTGAGGTTTTGTTTTTTCATTAAGGTTTTATTGTTGAAACTAACTAAGACTTTTATCCTTTGTCCTCTTTCTTCTTGTGGCTTTACCTTCATATTAAAGTCAGGTCGTGTCAGACCTCTGAAGCTAAGCAGGACAGGGCCTGGTTAGTGCTATCATGGGAGACCTCAGGGAACTCCAGGTGCCACAGTAGGGTGGCTGTGGCCAAACTGTGGCTGTGTCCTCAAGCAAGACTCTTCCCCCACATAGAATGAGTCTGGTGTTTGGCACAGACTGGTTGCCTCGCTTCTGTCAGTGTGCCCCAGGGCAGCTGTGGCCGCAGTGAAATAATTATGATGTGAGGACATTTTGAGCGCCCTAAAAAGCGCTGTATAAAACGTATAATTATTATTATCTGTTATTTTCTAGTGGAAGTCTTGCTTTGACTGAGGTCGACGATTATTACCTAATAATTTTGCAGGATATTTCTCACAGGAGGCAGAAAAGGACTTGGACTAAAGCAAAAACGTCTGGGTTTGTCACACGGTGTTTGTTTTGCAGGCGACATGGAACCAAAGAAGAACTGTGTCAAATCCAAACCCAGAAACACAAGCGGTCAGAAAGAACAGAGCCGACTTCAGCTCGCCAACTGTAAGACACACACACATACACACAAGAACACACACACACACGTCACACACACACACACACATACAGTATATACATACACACATACATACATACACACACACACACATACATACAGTACATACACACACACAGTTTAATAATACGGTATAACCTAATGCAAGAAACATATATGACATAGTTCCCGGTTGTGGCATGAAAATCAGGTCCCCCAGCTTTAAAACAAAATCTTTTGGCTAATGCTAAGGTTCCACTTTCCTGGAGGTCTTTAGCTGTAACTGTGTTTTGCTTCGTAGAAATCGTAGAAATGACTTACAGCGCTCTGCTTTACTTTACCATCGCCTCATTAACCATATAAATGTATATGTCTCATAAAAGCACATTTTGACAGCAGTACTATTAATATTTGCTGAATTAGTTTGGAGCAAAGCAATTACAGATTTTACAAGTGCTTCTTTATTGATGGTAATAGTATTGCAAGTCATGGTTGTCGGACAAGGTTTTTATTAAACAGAAATAGATTTTTAAACTGAATGGTTGAAATGATAAACCAGTGTCCTAGTTATAAAGAATCAGAATTAGATGTATGCCATTTTAAGTATCGGGAAGTCACAAACAAGGAAATTATTTTGACTCAAAACAAGAAGAGAAAAGATATATTGATACTTTATTATTAAATCTGGTCAGATAGAAAAAAGACATTTACCTCAAAACATATAACCCAGGATTAACCCACGAGCACAGGGACACCAAGAACTCTGACACTGCTACAACTCCCAAAGCCATTTTGATGGTTCTCATTAAAAAATCTGGATATCTCAACTAAAAAAGTAAATTATAAGGTTGCCGTAAAGCTGGACTAACTCACGTTGTGACTTTGAAGCAGCCGTTTCAATTGTAAGCGCTGCACTCGCTCTTTCTGCTCCCCGCACTCACGAAGCTTTCGCCCCCACTACCCCCCACCCCCGCTCATGCGCGTGCTCGTATGCATAGACTTGTGTGCTGTTGTTTACGGAGCTGGATCATCGATCTATGATGATATGTGGATACGTCTTTTGTTTTGGCCCAAAAACAAATGGAAATGTCCTGGTATTTTTTGTTCCTCATGTGGTTGTCCCTGGTGCCGCTCTCCCGGTCCTTCAAACGCTTGGCCTCTCTCTGTTCTTGTAGGACAGCCATTCTCAAAGTCAGTAACACCGCGGCCCCCTTAAAAATCTGACGGGTCTGCGCAGCCCCCCGAAATACTAACCAAGAAGACCAGTAACCGGTCACAAAGACATGCAAAGTTTCAAGTTCGACTCCGCCATGTTGCTTGTTTTTACCTAAGCTGTCTGTGCGCGCTAAGGAGAGACCTGTAGATTTTCTCAAGAAAGTGGGGGCCAGTGGTCCGCTGTGATTGGTCACAATCTGGTCCTGAAATAAATTATCTTCAGCGTTGCGCAAAAAATGTATCTAATGAAGAAGATGACATAGTCTGGGATCGCGTCTTAAATTCAGACAGAAGACATGTTTTATTGTCAATGGTAGAGACAGCACAAACACGAACAACACGATCACAGATACAATAGAATGCAAGTGTATTATACAGAGCGGAGGCATGGAGACCTCCAATCAGCAGCTGCCACGGTGCCATGTAGCTTGGCCTTCAGATAGACAAAACAAGGGAAAAGTACTGGCTTCTGCACATTGATAGAATGATGAGTTTAACTTTAACAAAAGTTGCTTCAAAGTGTTATGAAATCTCACATTCCCCCCTCTGGTCATACATTCACGTGTGACCATCAGGATCGATAAACAGCAACATAACATCATAACTCAATACTTCAAAAACTCATAAACTCGGTACTTCACTCGGTACCTCAAAAAACTCAGAACTCGGAATACTTCAAAAACTCATAAAACATGTTCAGATCTTTCATAAAACTTGTCAACAATCTTCAGTAAAATACCAAACTTCATCAGTCGATGGTGGTTCCAGATATTGCTTTGAAAACAGTCTCCCCCACTTCTCCGTGTTGGTTTCTTCAGGCTGCATTTGTGTCGAGCCATGAATTCTTCTGTGACGTGTCTTTCAATCACACGTTTCAGCTTTAGTGTCCAGATTCAGAAATCCAATTCAGTCCAAATTATGTCCAAATTCAGAAATCCAATTGTTCCAAATCATGTCCATGCAAAAGAGGACGATGGCATTGTCCATGTCTCAGCAGCTCACAGCCTGACTGGAATCAGGGGCTGTGCAGATTGTCCATGTTGCTGGTCCAGATGCATTCTCTTGAGGTTTTTCAGTTTTGGCTTAAAAAAAAAACACTTTTTGTGTAAAAAAAAAAGTAGTCTTCTGTTCACTAGATGTTACAGACAAGGCCCGCATTCTTCCACCACCTGAAGAAGATGACAAAGTCTGGGATCGCGTCTTTAATTCAGACAGAAGACATGTTTTATTGTCAATGGTAGAGACAGCACAAACACGAACAACACGATCACAGATACAATAGAATGCAAGTGTATTATACAGAGCGGAGGCATGGAGACCTCCAATCAGCAGCTGCCACGGTGCCATGTAGCTTGGCCTTCAGATAGACAAAACAAGGGAAAAGTACTGGCTTCTGCACATTGATAGAATGATGAGTTTAACTTTAACAAAAGTTGCTTCAAAGTGTTATGAAATCTCACACTAAAATAAAAATTACACTCCAGTACAAACCTGTGCTACTTATTCTTCAAAAGGAGGTGTATCCCAGTGCACTGCTTAGATATGGATTGAATTTTCCTAATGAATACAAACATAAAGTGAGGTAATGCAGCTTTAACATTATAAAGAAGCAAGTTTAAAATCTCTAGCTTTAGTATAATTTTCCAACCAAGGTTCTCCCTAATTTCTCACTTCTACCTCAGTATGTCACCTCGACTCCCTCTTATTCCATTATACATTTTTATCTGTGTTTTTATCTACACAAAATCATTTTACAAAACACTAAAATGCCTAAATCTCTCGGATCAAGTTCAAGAACAAACACACAAATGAAGTTTTAACTGGTTTTTAAACACTAAAAGAATGTGCATAAGTGTTTGTGACTTTGACTTTTTACATATTTGTTTCTACATTTTCAATTGCAGAGTTTGACCTGTAAGCTGATTCTACATTTTAAGACGCAGTCACACGGAGGACCTCTGCATCTCACAGTTTATGGCTCAAGGTTTGAAGCAAGAAATTGGACCAAAAGAGACGTTTTTCGAACCACGCGGAGCTCCATGTAGCAAGGATCACACCCACGTTTTGCACTTCCTGTTTACATTGACTTCATAACGTTAACCAGGACACCGCTGTAGCTTCTGTTCTTTATGGTATTTTCAAGTCACAGTGTTGAAATAAGAAAGCGGAAAACACAATATTTATGAAAGAAAATGGCACAAAATTGCTGTAGAAGTCATTATTTATGCAGTTTATCAGCCCAAATAGAGAGAAGCTTATATCGTTTTTCTGAACCAAAATAGTATATAATTTTCCAGAACATTGCTGAACTCAGATCCAGCTTATTTACGGTAACATTTTGAGTGAACTTGCTTTAAAATAGGGCATCAAATCCACTGTATGTAGGTAACTGTAGATACTAACCCTATGTCTTTTTAACACCAATCCTTAGCTTTCTCTCTTCACTTAACCCTTTTCTTATGCATTATCGCTCTGATTGATTGGTTCCATACTATTGTGACTGCAGTAGGCCTCCATTCTGCCCCCAATGCGAGAAACACACACCAATTATGTATCATATCCAGTGGCCACGTCCTTCTGTATAACCAATGTCTGCACTAGTCCTTGTAATTAATGCTATATTTTGAATAGAAAATGATCTCACCTCTTTGTACAGCACTTACTACTGATCGCCATCAAGAGCTCTATACCTGACTGAGTAATGTGAATTTTTAAACTGTGCACTAAAGCTTGTTGGATTTTTTTGTTTACTTTTCACAAACTGTGTTTAATAACCTGCATGCATCCATCTCCCAATGAACAGAGACGAGCCAAAACAATACAGCGCAGAAGTAGCAAAGATTTTTGTTCTGGTTATGGGCTTGGAATGGAGTGAGTGGACTGTGTTTGTTAAATCTAATGCTAATAATAATAATAATAGCACATAAGTTTGTGTAAGCTCTCAGTCGTACAGGGATTAGTCAAAGCAAAGGAAGATTAAGGACGAAACGTCAGGAAAACCTGCTGAAAAGTACAGATGATAGATGAGAACCCGTCCTTTGCAATAATAACACACGTTTATTTGTGTAGCACTTAAAAAAACAGTAAATTAAGTAAGGTAACGGTGCTCTTTATTAATCCCTGTAGGGCAATTCATCCTCTGCATTTGACCCATCCTGATGCCACTAAGGCTTCGGTCAAGAGCAGTGGTCGCCGTAGTAACAGCGCCCGGGAACCCATCTCCAGATGTTGATGCTCGGCTTGGTCAGGACTACCATAGCTGGAGGATTTAACTAGTGTGCATGTTTTTAGTGGTAGGGGAAACCGGAGGAAACTTACGCAGACATGGGGAGAACATGCAAAATCCATTCAGAAAGACCCTGTTCCGACCGGGATTTGAACCCCGGACCTTCTTGCTGAGAAGTGCTCAGCCACTGTTCATACAAGTACATACAAACAGTCCATAAAACAGTGAGAAATAGACAATAATACATTTATAAAATTAATAAAATTAATCAAATAAAAAAGAGAAATATAATTAATACAATATATACATTAAATAAATAATACAATAAATAACAAGAAAGACAAAACATGTGCGTTTAAATAAGGTACATAACATAACCCTGATAGTTTTTACAGTGTTTTATTAGGGACAGATCCAGAAGCCCAGATAAACTTCTTATAACCAATGCTAATTCACTCTTGTCTCTAGATTTAGAGAGTAAAAAAACTTGACAAGCACAATGTTAGTACTCGGACCGAAAAATCCTGACTTTTTTCTTCTGACTCAGGTTCAGTAAGTAAGTAAGTAAGTTTTTATTTATATACCGCCTTTTCACTGCAGATCTGAGTCTCAAAGCGGTTTACAATTGTTAATTTTTGGGCATTTGTCTCTCACTCCAGACAGAGATGGGAGCCGGGTCGCCAGTACAGGAGGCGCATGCCAGAACTATTGGACATGTTTTTAGTGGTAGGGGAAACCGGAGTACCCGGAGGAAACCTACGCAGACACGGGGAGAACATGCAAACTCCACTCAGAAAGGCCCTGGTCCGACCGGGATTCGAACCCAGGACCTTCTTGCTGAGAGGCGAGAGTGCTATCCACTCAGCCACCGTGCCGCCCGGTGAGTTTGTCTCTGCCGCCTGAGACAAACTCAGCGTTTGTCTGATGCTTTCACAAACGAAGCATAATTGGTCCCGAAAGATTCAGGGTTCTCCTTAATTGGAAGAGAGCGAAGAGTGTAAAGCCCCGTGGCATTGTAAAAACTACTCTTATATTGTATCATGGATTATGTTTATAGAAAAAGCAACTAGTTTCCCAAAAAATAGGCTTAGAGATTTGTGTAATTTCTTTTCTAACAATTATATACATAAAAAGATACAGAACTTACTTGGACTTTTAAGATCACCTGATTATAAACCACAGCGACATTTTAAAACAAAATGTTTTGAGGTACTATTTTACATGTTTTTAGTGGTAGAGGACACTGTAGCAACCAGAGGAAACCGTAGCAACCGGAGAAAACCTACCCAGACACAGGAAGAACATGCAAACTCCACTAACACTAACCACTCTGCCACTGTGCTGTCCAAAGAGTACTAATGAATAGGAATGATAAAAATGATAATAAATATTTCTTTTTTTTTTATGAATCTGAAATACTGACCAATGTGCAGAATGACCTAGTTAAATTAATCATCTTGGATGGATTAAGGGGAAGAAAATGGATGAATGGATGGATCTTGAATATATAACATTTTTTGGATGTGTTCCATTATGAATAATGTTTGACCTAGAATTATACCAAATAGGACAGGAAATAATTTGTTTGATTTAGAATTCAAATCCACTTTATTGCAGTAAAACCACATTGGAATACTTGCGCAAAAGTCCCCAGTGTGCACAATACGATGTAAATAAAAACAAAACAGGCTAAAAAGAACAATTGCCACAGAGAAACCAACAAAGAATAACAGTTTACAGATGCTATTAATGCAAGTCAGGACCACTCTCAGTTCACCATGAAGGATCCCAGCTTTGTGTTTATCTTGAAATGTTTAAGACCAAAAAGAAAACGGTAGCAAACCAGCACAAAAACTGAAAATCCAGACGTCAAGCGGTCATATTGTTTTGGCTGGTCCACTCAGTAGCCAGCGGTCGTATTGTTTTGGCTGGTCCAGTGAGTAGCCAGAGGTCGTATTGTTTTGGCTGGTCCAGTCAGTAGCCAGCGGTCATATTGTTTTGGCTGATCAAGTCAGTAACCAGCGGTTATATTGTTTTGGCTGGTCCAGTCAGTAACCAGCGGTCGTATTGTTTTGGCTGGTCCAGTCAGTAACCAGCGGTCGTATTGTTTTGGCTGGTCCAGTCAGTAACCAGCGGTCGTATTGTTTTGGCTGGTCCAGTCAGTAACCAGCGGTCGTAATGTTTTGGCTGGTCTCTGTAAGTGTCTTCATCCTCACACACTAATGTTGAAAACCTCCCGTATTAACTGCAGATTATGAGTAAGAGGCCCATGATATTTATCCATGATGTAGTTGCATGTTTTTAGAGAGCCTCTTTGCTGCTGCAGCCACAGTTATGACATCAAGACAAAGATGCATGTTGATCTGCACCCGTAGGCGACACGTGGGAACTTACAGCTCAGGGAAAACGAAACCTTACATTGTCTGATAGAAGCTGTGGATTTTTCTATTCTTCTCTTTGTCACAGTGGGATATTTTAGGGCTGTCCAGGATATAAACAAGTATTGTGTTATTATATACTGTCTTAAAATGGGTCAAAACATGATTTTCTACATCCTTATCCTTATCATACCCTACATGTATAACTATTTATTATCCATCCATCCATCCATTTTCTACCCTTTAATCCATTTCTGGGTCAGGGGGGTGGCAGTCAGAGATGCCACCCAAGTCTCATAGCACCAGCCCCTCACTGACCCTCTGCAGGTGGTGAGTCCACAGGAGGACTATGTATTTATTAACTATTTATTAATTAATAAATAACTATTTATTAATGTTGTGAAAATATAATTTTTTTCTAGATAACTTGACGTGGCTAATAAATACATATTTAACCTTTGTGGTAAGCTGGCAAGTAGCTACTTTAGCAAAACATAGTGGTTAATTAGATTGAGATTTAGATTCTATTTTATTTGCCATTTACAGTAAAACCACATTGGAATATATGTGCAAAAGTCCCAAGTGGGCACTAGATAAATATGTAAATACAACCAAATACAACCTTTTAGAGTTGAATCAGAAACGGTACAAACTCTGTGTGTTGAAAATGACCACTCATTATTTTATCTGTTTTCATTTAATCACAAGGTGGTGCTATTTTGTTGGTTCTAAAAAGAAAGACAGAGCCAAACCAGCATCATTTCCTCGAACAAACTGGCTGCCTAAATGCTGCTCTCTGATTGGATAATCTGCTCACGGTTTTGTCGAATTTATGAATAAACTGCTCTCAAATTAGCGTTTCAAAAAAAACGAAAACTTTGTGGAAAGATGATATATAGCATGATTTTCTTTAGTAAATCATAATTAAATTAGCTTGGTGCTAGCTACAATAGCATGCTATAGTTTACTTTAAGCCAAGTTACTGTTTAAAACAGTTTGGCTTCATTTACTTTTTACGCCAAATTCTTTGAAACAGATGGAAAATGTTGTATTAGTAATGGGGATGGATTTTAAAGCAGTTTCAAAGTTCGTATTTATTCAAATTTATATGTATTATTTATGAACTGAATCAAAAATGCACTAACTGAAATGACCTGGACAGCCCTGAACAAAATCCAACATTTTCTCAATTTTAATAATTTTTGTGAGTTTGTTGTACATTTCTCTGTAAAATACCGTTAATGTAAATGTGTTTTTTATTAATGACGTTTTGTGGCTGTGGATGCATCTTGTCGAATGACTTTAAC